TTTTATTCTATTGGTTTGGAAAAACACTTCGCATAAGAAAGATAATTTTCCTGCCAGCCAAGCTGGTCTGCTTATTTGAATTCCAATATACACATGTGTCTTCTCTTCAATTCTTCACAGGAAAACATTCTTAAACTTCTCTTTTTAACACTAGAAAGACTGCAATGCTATTCTACCTATTACAAAGGCAGCAGTCAAAAAGAACTGCTTCAAATACTTAATTAGCTTTTATCTTGAATTAAGATGTCTAAAATAAATTATATTTTGACATTTAATGAGAAACACTCAAATATTGAGTCAGAAAATATTACAAGAAATCAATAAATATGAGGCACAAAAGAATATTAAAACTTCAAATCACAATCACAATGACTGCTCTCATCATTCTAGGTTTCACACAATGCAATTTCGGTTTCTGAAAATTTTCTCTACAGCTAAAAATAACCGTAATAGATAATTTTAATTAACAAATTCACCATTGCCATAGTCTTCCTTTGAAATTTCATTTCCACTTTTTTGAGAAAAGAATAAAATCATACAATTTGACCAAAAAGAACTGGCCATAAAAGAAAATTTTTATCAGAGAAAGGTTCCGAGAGGGATTATAAGGATACATTTTTCAGGGAAGGATTCTGCAGCCAAGTGAAAAGAAATAGTAAGTTGTTAGATCATATATATTTTATGTATAACAGAGATACAAGGGAAGATAGTTTTAAGAAAGAATTAATACAAATGTTACACTTTTTGGAAACAGTGATATACACATATCCTCAATAATATGTACTGCAGTCATATTTCACTTTTGAGGCATATCAACTGTGCTAGGTGGCACAAGACATTTCTGGACATCATACAGAGGATAGTAAATAAAGGACAAAGGTAATGTCATAGAATAAGCATATACTCATACAAGAGGTCATATTTTTTAACATACATCAAAATTCCCAAACACTAGCAATGGACACATGCAAATTTATTTTTTATTGATTTTTAATACTCATCTGCAAAGTGTTTTTGAGATTGTCAATTACACAGTACTTGTTTATATGCATGACTGACGCAAAAATATTCTGTAAGTGAAATTAATCATCGCCAATGTACATATTACTGCTCATCTCCGCAGGAGAATAAAAACTAAATATTTAAGAACAGCCAAAATGCACATGCCAGAAATTACTTTTAAGAAAAACTTGAATGAATGCAAAACAAGAATTACTAAGAATTGCTGTACATTGTAGTTCATTTTGTACTGAACAGAAGTAATCAACACTCCTGGATTTGTGCAGTCTACACGTAATGATAAAATTAATTACACAATAATGCAATATAAAGAAATTTCTAATTCAGATGAGATATGCTCAACTAAATGAAAATGGCAGTACGTTACACCTCTCTCTTCAATTACACACTTACACAGTACAAATATATATAACATCGGCTCGATGAGAATTGCTTACCTGGAAAGAACAAAAACATTCTCATTAACAATATTCCATAGAAGACCAAACAGAATTTCTCTTTTACAAGGAATTACGAATAAGAACATAAAAGCACAGCATATTTTGGATGTCCAAACTAAATTTCTTTTAAAATAAAATCTAGAAAAGCCTAATGAAATAGGGATAATGGACTGAAGCTTTAAGTCACCGCAAAATATCAAAGTGACTTAATGGTCACACTTGAATGTAGCCAAGGAATTTCCAGGAGACAAAGGGGGCAAGTGCTCTAGTAGATTTTTTGAATAGGAAAATTTTAAAAAGTATTTATCATATAAAATAGTAAAGTACTTCAACGTTGAAAAATGAGGATGAGTAACGTCTATGAAGTTGATTACATATATAATAAAGAAGCAGATATAATGCTTCATCTGCAAGGTAAAAATATCATTACTGCAGGAGATGAGTTTTGGTATTGACTATGTTACTATGGCAAAGGCATGCGGTGGACCAATGTGTGTCAGTTACGGCGTCCACTCTACCTGTGTTGCTGATTTGTAAACATCACATGCATGGCCAAAGGCACAGTTAGGTTACAGCATGGGATGTGGTGCTCTGACTTGGATCCAAAACTAAATGTACCCGCCTGATAGTAAACAATCAATCTTTTCAAACAGGAAAAATTTACCATCTCACAGCTTGGAGTGGGCTCAGTTCATTGTTTTCTGGTAATGAGCATCGCAACACTTAAAGGTTGTGGTGGAAGTCGTTTCCAAGGTAGTGGTGAAAGATGTTCCAAGGTAGTGAAAGAGCTGAAATATTTCGTTCAATCATTGCTATAATCTCTCTACTGTGGTTTAGGTTTTTAAATGTTACCATCAAATCATTACCACTTTAAAGCAATTGAAAGAGCTGATTGTGAAAGTGAGTCTTTTTCAATGAATAATTGAATCTTGTGAATGGAGATCTATATATATAGAAAGAAGAGAGAGAAAGAGAGAGAGAGAAAGAGAGAGGAGAGAGAAAGAAGAGAAGAGAGAGAGAGAGAGAAAAGAGATGAGAGAAGTAGAGAGAGAGAGAGAGAAAAGAGGAGAGAGAGAGACGGAGAGAGAGGAAAGAGAGAGACAGGGAGAAGAAAGAAGAGAGAGAGAAAGAGAGAGAGAACAAAGGGAGAGAGCGAAAGGACGGAGAAGGAGAAGAAAGAGAGAGAGAGAGAGAGAGAGAGAGAGAGAAAGAGAGAAAAGAGAGAGAGAAAGAGAAGAGAGAGAGAAAGAGAGAGAGAAAGAGAGAGAAGAGAAAAAAGAAAGAGAGAGAAAAGAGAGAAGAGGGGAAGAAGAGAGAGGGAGCGAGAGAGAGAGAGAAAGAGAAGAAGAGGAGAGGAGAGGAAAAGAAAAGAGAGAGAAAAGAAGAGAGAGAGAGGGGGAGAGGAGAAAGGGGGAGAGAAAAGAGAAGAAGAGAGAAGAGAGAGGAAGGAAAGAGAGGAGAGGAAGAAAGAGGTTAAGAGAGAAGGGAAGAGAGAAGAGAGAGAAGCGAAGAGAAGGAAGAAAGGAGAAAAAGGAGAGAGAGAGAGAGAGAAGAGGAGTAGAAAGAAGAGAGTAGAGAGAGAAAAAGAGAGAGAGAGAAGAGAGGACAAGACGGTAAGAGAGAAGAAGAAAGAGAAGAGTAGAAAGAGAGAGAGAAGAGAGAAGAGAAAGGAGAGATAGGGGAGAAGAGAGAGGAAGAATGAGGCGAAGAGAAGGAGAGAAGGAGAGAGAGAAAGAGTAGAAGAGCAGAGAGAGAGACGGAGAAGGGAGAGAGAGAAAGAGAAGACCAGAGATGATAAAGAAGAGAGAAAGAAGAGGGAAAGACGGAGAATGGAAGGAGAAAGGGAGAAAAGAGGAGAAGAGAGAGAGAAGAGAGAGAGAAAGAGAAAGAGAGAGAAAGAAGATCGAGAGAGAAGAAAGACGAAGAGAAAGTAAAGAGGAGAGAGAAAGAAAGGAGAGAAGAGAGAAGAAAGAGAGAAGAAGAAAGAGAGAGAAAAAGAAAGAGAGGAGAGGAAAGAGAGAGAAGAAAGGAAGAGAGAGATAGAAGAGAGAGAAAGAGCAGAGAGAGAGAGAAAGAAGAGAGAGAAAAGGAAGAGAGATAGAGAGAGAAAAGAGGAGAGAGAGAAAGGGAGAGAGAGAAAAGAGAGAGAGAGAAAGAGAAATAGAGAGAGAGAAAAGAGAGAGAGAGAAAGAGAGAGAGAAAGAGAGAGAGAGAGAGAAGAGAAGAAGCAAAGAGAGAAGAGAGAGAAAGAGAGAGAGAGAAAGAGAGAGAGAGAAGTCATCATGACATGCCTTTTTTTATTCCATTTTTTTATTTTTCTCTATGTTGAACTGCTTGTAGAAACATTACACTGTGTATATTAGAGAAGTAATTCCGTACTTTCAACGAATAAGTTTGCAATCACATATTTAAATGCCGTGAGTGGAGTACTGAAGGATGCAGACATTGCGCACTTGTGAGTTTGGCAACAGCACACCATGTGTTTGATAGCTGTCAATACCAAGGTTCCATTTCCTGTAGTATAGGTACTACAGAATCTCAGAATGAGTTTTGGCTCATTTGTTATTTCCTGATTTTCTTGGAGATTTGTGTTTACAGTTCCCATCACCTTGAAGTCTATGCCTGTAACAGTGTTCTCTAGAGGACTAATCAGGCCACCAGGAAAACTATTTCTACTCCCAAATGCAATTAGCCTGTATTACCTGAATTGATTTTCCGGTTTACAAGACTAATTTCAAAAAGTATCATATCAACTTGTATTAATTTAAAGAAAGAAAGAAAGAAAGGGGGAAAAAAGGATTAAGAATAAAAGAATTCTTGAGCATATTTTCTTTGAAAGGAAGGACTGGAGGCATAGACATATCCACTTCTTAGAAAAATAGAAAATATACATTAGGCCTCTTTCACAATGCAAAATTGATCATATTGTTGCCGCAAAACCTAGAAATGAATGACTAAGTGAGAACATTCACAACGCCGGTTAATTTAAGAGTTCACAAGCACCAAGCTTTAACGTTAAGTCTGTTGGAATTCTACCAAAGACCAATCACAGAGCAGCATGGAAGAAATTATGCACAACAAAATCTGCAAGAAGCAAATGAAAGGTTGATTTCAGAATGGCTCCAGTTAGTTTGTTGTTATGTTATTTCATTATTTTAATGTAGAGAACTAGTTTACGAACAGTTTTGTGTGTAGGTAATTTGAAGTAAGAATTTGGACCAATTTTCTTGTATCTAACTTGAAATGGTGAAATGATCTTTCCAACATGGTGGAAAGATCTTTTCACCATTATAGAAACTGATTGATCAAGCTTCAATACATTTAATTCTGTTTGGTTCAGGTGAAACTTATGTTCGTCATTGTTAATGCCTGTTTACCAAATTACTGCAAAGTTTACAGCATTACATTACATTTAAGTTTGCATTGTGAACAAGGCTTTAGTTGCAATATCATACAGAAAAGTAATGATATGCTTAACTAGATCCTGCCAAGGCCCTTCAACATGAAAGTGGGAACTGTCTTAGTAGAAGAAATACTCACTGCTAAACAAACATCCCTGTGACCTCATCACTGACTCTTCTGGTGCTTCTCGTACTCTGCACGCAGTTGCCTCTTGTACTCCACTTGGTCAGGCCACAGTGAAGCAGCGTGGGGGTTTAAAGGACTTTCATTGTTAGGCTCTGAAAACAATTAAATAACTTTAAATATGCACACATCATTTCATTATTTGCTCACATTTGTCACACTAGTTATCTTTATGCTGCAGATTGTTTGTATAAACAAAGATTTAAAATTCTGAATGCTTTCGAAATTTCAAAATATTGGATACTGATTAGGGACATGAAGAAATCAACACTTCACATTGTTTGAAAATCTTAAAACATTACTTTCAAAACCTGAGAAACAAGTTGTGAAAAAATTACAGGTGAAACGCTGAACAAAACCATGGGAAAAATAATTTCTGAATACTTTCAAGACCTTTAACATAGCAGAAGGCCCAGGGAAGTAGTACAAGGAAGTCTGCAAGTAATATCACACAGCTTCATGCAACTTCAAAGCACAGTCTGGCTTCAAACCCATTCATATCTTCCAAACAAGTTTCATTTTCGTAAGTTCCAGGACACTACTTTTCTTGCATTTTGCCTCAATCTTAAAACTTCACAATAATTTGGGAGTTTGCAGATTATATCCCCCTGTTTTCTGCATTGTTTACCATTTACTTAATCATACATTGGAATAAAGAGAGAGAATTACAGCTTTGTTGAACAACTGATTCACTTGGATATTAGTTTGTGGATCATCCACAGTCATCACTAGGGAGTGGATTTTAATGAAATGTCTTTTTTCTTTTCACTTTAGAAAAATGCTGTTTACTATAGAAATTAATTATATGTCATGACAAAACAAAATGACTAATTTTTATGCAATGGTTCCTGTGATGCTTAATGGTGCCATTATCAGTTCGGCCAATGTCATGATACATTTTACGTAATTTTTCTTTGTTCTTAGGGCATTTTAAAGCATTTTATTGATCAATTTTGGCAGAATCCGCTCCCTAGTCATCACTCATGCTGCTGGCCAATCAATCAGTAGTTTCTTTACTGGTTAAGAAATTAATGTTTACTTTCCAGAAAGAAAATCAGTGCATCAATTCCTTGAACTAAATCTGAGAAGAGTTGACATAAGCTTTATCTCAATTTTTCATCTTGTTGCAAGGACCTGTTAGCAAGATATTCAGGCCTGATGACCATATCCAACACTCGAGCACTGGTTATTAAAGCAGCATTCTGTCATTTTGTTTTTTACTGTAATGCGAGGTGGATTTGAAGGTTTCAGATTCAGATTGAAGAATGCAATGCATATTTTTCAAATAACAGGCTGAGACAGCAAGAATTCACAAGACAAATGTTTACTAAAATGGGGGTTTATCCCCCCTCAACACCAAGACCAGGGCCCCAAGGAACCATTACATTCCAAGCTAGGATTGCAAGAGGTTTTCACCTCATTCCTGCAGTGAGGCAAGGATATGGCAAAGTGTGAAAGAAGCAATATTACAACTTATTTGTACAATTTGTCAGAACTTGATGCATAATGAACTGCTCCACTGCACTACATGGCCTGGAGACCCTGTATCCTCCCATTGTTCCCATTTGGGAACACACTGTAAAATTAAAGGAAAAAATAAAGAAAATAAAGATAATTGAAAAACTTTAATTTTTAGTGGTGTTGTGACTTCATAGATTAATATTTTAACTGACTTCATTACCAATAATTGTACCAATTCAACCATTAAGATTTATTATAAACGGTACTGTAAAACCATGCAACTTATGTCCAAATACACTGTCGTGCAAAAACAAGTAAAATAAGTTTCTAGAAGTCGCATAGATTAATTTTATAAATGCTTTTGCTCAAAGGTGCATTTAGACTGTAGTCGGGTAGCTGCATTTTATCAATGCAGTTTTACAGTAGTTAATTGTAAACAAAAAATCCATTATCCTTGTCAAATTAAATAGCTGTATTTTGGTTTACTCAGTAGTATGGTACCAACCATCCTAACATCCACACCCATGTATTTAGTACTTTCTTTTATGACTATCCATAGCCATCTCAGCAATTTTTTTATGGATATTAAACATGACCAATTGCACTAGGATGTAGCAATGACCCAAATTTGCCAGTTCTACTTGACGTAGAAAAGTTTTCTTCTCCACCTTTCTTTTGTAATCATTAATTTTTAGTGGTTATGAAAAATGCATTCAGAATTTTGAATCAATAGAAGACAGACGTCTGTTGTGCATTAAGTATTCAATAACTATGTTCAGCACAGCATCTTACCTCCAAGGAGAGACTGTATGGAGATAAGAAGTGTTCGTACATCATAAAGGGCTGACCACTTCTCCTTTAAGATGTCAAGACAGATGTTACCGGCATGGTCTACATTAGGATGATAGCACGGAGTTGTAAAGCGAACAACAGGTGCTGAGTAGGGGTAACTATGAGGAAATTCCAAACTGAGTTTATAGGTGAGGCCTTCATAAACCTGCAAACAGAAAAGATGTTATAAGCAAGGACAGCAAAAAAGTTCAAATATCAATCACACAGTAAAAGTGCACTTCCTCAAATACATTCATGAAATAATATTCTAGGGAAATATCATGTTTTTAAACAATTATCATATAAAAACTTTGTAAATTGCTTATTCTAGAGAAAATTGGATAGTTTCACGCAATTTTAACTTTACTGTTTTATTAAAACAAAACCATAATTTGCCAACTGTATATGTAAACATGTGCTTTTTGTTGTAATGAATTTTAAAATGATACAGATCTGAAAATTAAGAAGATTCAGCAATACCATGATTGATACTATAACATTTAATTAATCTAAAAGTTTACACCAAAGTACGGATTAACAGATTAGATATATGATTCCTCAAATCTTAAGAAAATTTCATTTTTCACACTTTTCTCACCTTTCAAATACTATCTTTATCAGGTCATCAATCCTCCCACTTTCTCACCTTCTTCTCAACCTAGTTTTACTCTTTACAAAGCAATATATTCACAGCAACTTAAAAATAGAAAGAACAAAACTAATGCTGAGACATCCTAAGAAATTGGTACATCTTCATAGGTTGCCAGTTTTATCAGTTCTTTACATTAGTTTCTGATCATCTTATTACATAATGAATTAAGCAGATTCTGGATTCTAATAAATTTAAATCGATCATCTCAAGTTAAGATTCATCATTATGTCACAGTGAGATGTTGCGAAAATGCAACACTAAGCACTTATATCATTTCATTTGAGATCACACTGGAGCAACATATATATTATATTAAATATTTAACGAAACTTATTTTAAAATTATTATTTAACAAACCAATTATAATTCCACTTGAATCAACAAATAATACTGTGGTAAGAAAAATAAACAATAATAAAAGAAAATAGAAGAACATCTTGCAACTGCCACTTTCTTCTTGATGTGAAGAATGCTTGTAAACATTTTCCATGTATTTAATGCACATTTTTATTGCAGTTGATTCACACACTTAACACTGTTTTGTTCAGGGAAGAAATTAACTGACCAATATTGTCGAACTGATAACAGGTAATGTATATGTAGTGTAGTTTATTTTAGTGAGCCACATTTTCTTTTTGGACAATTATCTCTCCCCAACACATTTACAGATGACCTCCTTTGACACAGATTCCTCTAGCTGATCAATTACTGCAGATGAAATACGACTTGTGTCATAAACTAGTAACAAATCTTTATGTTGTGTACTACCGCTTTTGAAGTAACAAAAATAATGGGCACTCAAATTTGATCAATGCTACTCATCAATTTTTGTTTCTGAATATCTTTGTCTGTGTCACTATTGATATTCGAAGGGTCGAAGACATTTTTCGTACCAGCTAAATTTCTTCCATCTTATAAGATAATCAAACAATTCCTTAAAAGAATTTATAAAATGTCACTTATATTGTACTGGTTTTCACCCATTCATTTAACATCATAATCTACAAAAATGAATAGAAACTAACCATTTCACGCTTTTTATATACTACACACTAACTATACATAATTTTTCATCTCTCTTCAAAGCTGGTATTATTTGGATGTATTTTCTGTAACGTTGCTTACATTTCATAATGCAATTCATTTGAATCTGAATTAAAATTTAGGAGACTCTGTGGAAACTAAAACCAATTTATTTTGAGTCCGTTTATAATACAAATAACACATTCACAACAAACAAGTTTTGAAGGGGCAGGGTAGCAACCAACTTCAACAGAAGGAATTTCCAAGATTATGTTCAATGACTGGTGGATTTAGGATTAGGATTACCAACATTCACTCACGATAAAACCAGTCTGCATTTGGCAATAAATAGAACTCGTTGCAAACTATTTAACAAACAATAATTTCCCCGATAATAGTGAATTACTCATCTTTCTCATGACTAATGGATTCTTGCGCAACCCCATCACCCTACATTTTTGTATTGACTTACTAGTAGAAAGCCATGTATAACAATACATAAACTTCAGATTGTGTCGTTCTAAAAATATCCAAAAGAAAATTACAGGCTGTTCAATGTAAATCAAAGAAGTCAACACTAGTTACTGGGAAAACACTTATAAAAATTCAAAATAAATAATCAAAAAGATACAAATTTCTACTAGTTTCTATTGAGAAAGCAACAAACCCATGATAATTTCTATTTCCAAAAGAACGCCAAAGGGAGTCATTTCATTTTGCAAGGTACAATTTAGTTTCCATCTTGGAAATGACTACCTTTTACAAGTCTTCATTTTTTTAATGTTTTATTAGGTAAAACATTGTACCTACTCTGCCTCTGGATATATTTTTTTCAACACCATGGTCTTAGTTCAGTTTGAGGCTACACTGCCTTTTAGGTTTCACTGATCGCCTCTGCCCATTTATTGAAAGATTTCCTGCGAGATCCTCCTCTTGTCATTTAATTTATCACCAGACTGAATTTCAGTTACAACAAAATGAAAAGCATTTCATGATGCATGACTGTTTTAAAGATGACAATGTCTTTCTACTTTCAAGAGACGGGTTAGCTCATCCAATAATTTGTATTTGTATTTGATATGCAGGCAATGTATTTTAATATGTATCTGCTGAGCTTCTTCAGACCATGCATGATATTGTAGATGTTCTTTTGGAAGGACCTGAAGAACCATTCAACCATAACTGTCTGATGTCGAGTATCAATGCAAAGTGCCAGAAGCTAGTGGAATTAACTTTCCAGCTGATTTTAAGATAATTTCTTCTATGAACATCGTGTAAACATCTAGCTTGATTTTTTACTTTGGCTATTTCTTTAAATATAAAATATATGATTCAAAATATCAGAAATTATTATGAAGAACCAGAAAGCAATGAGTATGACTAAAACAATAAAATATTAAGTTATTGTTAAAGCGATCTCTTAAACATACAAATGCGGTGGAATGGTCTTGGGTGAAGTACATAAGAATAGAAACCCAGGCACTCAAGCATTAATAAGCTATTCTTAAGATTGATTATAACTGTAATTATTTGCTACACGTACCTCATCTGCAGACTTATTTACTTTTTTCTTCGTATTTTCCACAAAACACATTCCCTTAAGACTTTAAATAGGTAGCCAACAAGTAATTAATTAATATTTACTTACTTCTTAAATTTAACATTAATTTTAATTTATTTTTTCAAATTAAAAACCTTGTTCTTGCTTATTCACAAAAACCGTTAACTGTTGTGAAGAAGGAAATCAATTCATGGAATTACATTCCACAAGTGAATCCGATATCTACACTAACATGACACGAAATGAAATTCAATGTCAAAGCAAAATTTTTCAATCAAATTTTAAAACTCACCGTGCCTGCAGCTCCTGTTATTGTTCCAACCCACTTGAACAAATTTTCTCCCTCAGGGAAAGCTGATACACTCTGATCTGGATTCATCTGGGAAATAATTCAAATCGAAATTCGTATAATAATTGCATAAATAGTCTTTGTACATCATTATCTCCAAGTTCCAGAACGCATTAACGTTAATTAATACTGCTAATAGCTCTTCAGTAAGAACAGTCTTTACGCGCAACGGAATGTCAAGACTTCCTCATTGCAAGAGAAATTACACAATACGACAAAACTCACCATTAACACCATCAATTCCTTCTGCAATCTGAAACAATAAGACAAATCAATGCGTAAAGTCACAGGATACAATAATGTGTAAAGTGGAACAAAGAAACACGAGAACTTTCCATTGACTTAAACATTCTCATGAACCATGAGAGGTTAATGGCAGTTTCCCACAAAAATTCCACACGATATTACTACTACTTACCTTTTGCTGACGGCGTGATTATCTTTTGATATGTTTTGATTTTCTTCATTAGTTTTAGAAGGAGCACTTGGCGCAGTGTAATGTGGATTAATATTCTGTGCCATCGCAACCACAAGAGACGTTACTTTCAAACGAAGCAATTCCTCCTTACTGAAATTTAAATGGAAGGCCAGCCAATCACTACAGACTTTGGTGTGACTCGATCGTTCATACTTTGCAAGCTGCCTCACGGCCAGTTAGATTTGTTAGTTCCGTATTATGCAAACAGACGGCGCAAGAAATGGGATTATGCCACATATCCAAGAGCGGCAAATTTGAAATGTGATTTTAGTGCAAAGCATGTCCAAATCATCTTCGCCGGCGTCGTTAGCTATGGACTATGCTTCTTGAAACAACGTGAAGTCCACGGATTTTTGGATGGGCGACGTCTGGGAACGGTTCCAAGCTTCTGGCCGAAAGGATGAAAGGCAATGACTGCTTCGACGTTATTATACTAAATACAAAATCCTCTGTAAACACATCGTTTAAATAAACGGAGGATTACTCGAAATATACGTTCAATATCCAAAAGATGGCGAAGAGATATAGTTGCGGAAAAGGTGCAACAAAATTAAAAAAAGGCGAAAGCAGCAGACAAATGTATTTCAAACATAGTAAATAATTTGAAACATAGATTAACTTACTTTCGTTTTTAAAAGCGTATCTCATCAATTCCCCACAGTAGTTGCACTTATCCCCATTAAACTTAACAGTTTTAACTAATTTTGAAGTTAAATAATAGTTATTTAGTATGTAAAAGTATCTTAATACATCGTATTATGATACGATATTGGCGTATTATCAAACAAGGCCGTTAGGCCCAGTCTCGTAAAAAAGTTTTGTAAAAAGACAAATGTCTTAATATTTTCGTTTAAATATTGACTATTAGTTCTGAGAAGTTGTAATAGTTTTATCAATTATTGCTCGAAATACTTTTACTACGTCAGTGGCTCAGATATTAATACTTATGGACGACGACATTGAAAGAAGAGTGAGTTATGCTGTTAATTGCTTAATACCTGAAAAGTCAAGAAATGCGTACGAAAAAGAATACAAAATTTTCGAAAATTGGCGTATGAAAGAGAAGTTGACCATATTTCTAAAAAAAATGATATTGCGTTTCTCTTTTAAAGCGAAGAAAGAGAAGTCCAGTTCAATGTGGTCTCATCATGCCAAGCAGCACAATTTCAGCCCTCCCTCCCCTTTTTTTAATGCTCGCGATTGGCCATGTGTCTCATGGGACTAAGTGACGGAAATCTGTCCAAGAAATTGGGAATTTTTTCAAAGCAAGATATCCATAGTTTTTACTGCAGGCTAGAGTCGACTGTTACGACGAAGTGACGAATTTTGACTACCATTTTGGTTAATTAACCCCCGGGAATATTTAATATCAGAGACAATACATATAAAGCCATATTATACTATTAATACCATGATAGTCAAATTTATTCATAAAAAGTTACGGCGATGTTGTGTTTAAATAAAAGAATCCTGATAAAAAAAACATTTTAATCTTCGTGATTTGCTCCGCTTGCCTTTATTTGTATAAGTACTTCTTCTTTTTGATCTTTTTCTCTCCCCTTTCACTTCTGTTTATTAGTATTTTTGCTTGATTTTATTTTTCTTTTTCAAAATATAACGACTACTTTTTACTTTCATTTGCTCCATCTTTATTTATAACTGCCATCTTTTCCCTGAAACCGGGATGTAGATGTTTACAATGGAAAGGTTTTTCCTTATTTTAGTTTATTTTGGTTTTATCCTTATATATTTTGTTAAATTGTTTGATCAACCTTAACATGTTTTGGTGAGTTCTCTCCCATCTATTTATGTATTTTGTAATTACTACATTTTTTACTTATACGTGTTTTATTCTGTAATTTCATCTCATTATTGGGTAATTTAATTTTACTACCTTCATACTGTTCCTACTGTTCATACCTTTGTTTTCATTTTCAGACAAAATGTGTAAAGTTTATTCGCACCTGATCATGCGAATGAATAACACGCGAAATGTTGGGTTTCAGAATATGTAAAAAGTAAAAAAAAATATACTTAGTCCAAAAAGAGAAGAAAAAAATGCCTTGATGTTAAAGATATTTAATTAAAGGACAATTCTCTTGAGATAGTATTTATATGTTAAAACTTCGAAAAGTGCAAATGTTCAGCTTGTTTTGAAGACTATTGGCCAATATTAACCCTTCATTGATTTTAAGTATTTGATTTGACTTATTTTGTCAAAAAACAATAAAACTGAATGTGACGTATGGGAGAGAATATCATCTGCACATTGAACTCCAGAATCCCGTCCCAACATTTTAATTATAATTGAAAGATGAATTAACGTTAAAAATAAAACAATCAAAATAAATGATAATAAAAATTAAAAAAGCGCGAGATTAGCAAAATTTGAAAAACTAGACACAAGTACAGTTTTTTTCAATATATTAGTAGTTTCGAGTAATGTAATAAAATTATGTCAATGTTCCAAAAAATACGCAACATGAGTTTCTAAAAACGACTTCACATTTTGTACTTTCTCTTAAAATACTGAGTTTTTCAGTGAAAGCTCGTATTGGTAATGATGTTACAGAAATATTTTCTCGTGATGATGGTATTGCTCACGTACGTTTTCTTGAGCTCTCATTTCGTTAATGTGTAAGGAGTGGAGAGAAGAGGTTGTATATTTTGAAGTCAGGACTAATGTATCAAGTCTGCAGCTGGTTTTTCAATCCA